GAGGGCGGCAGGTGTCCGTGGCGGAGACGTTCCTCCACTGCCCGGCCCCAGTGACCCTGTTCCAACAGTGGAGTTCATCACAGTGGTTTGAACTGGGTTTGAACCCCAGCTCTGTCATTCCCCGATAGTGTGACTGCGGCAAGTCGCCTAAACTCTGCGCCGCAGTTTCCACATCTTTAGCACGGGGTCAGTAAGAGCGCCTTTCGTAGGGCTCATGATGAGGATTAAGCGAGACTCACAGAATGCCTGAGGGGAGCTCACGGCGATGCCTGGCACACAGCATGCGATGAGTGCTGCTGCGCGAGCATGGTAATGCAGGTGGAGATGATGGTGGCGACGGCGACGGTGATGGTGATGGTGATGATGGTGGCGACGGTGATGGTGCTGGTGAAGATGAAGACGGTGATGATGGTGGTGATGCCGGTGATGGTGACGGTGATGGTGATGAGGGTGGTGATGGTGATGATGCCAGTGACAGTGATGGTGATGATGGTGATGATGGTGATGATGCCGGTGATGGTGATGGTGGTGATGACGGTGATGGTGATGTGTACTGTCTCCCCCCATCCTCCTGTTCCGTGTGCCGCATTCAGCTTCCTGCACACTCTGCGATCGGCACACCGCTGCCCCCACTCTTCCTCTGCTCTCTAGCTTACTCTGGCTTCCTGTGGCATCAGAAGCCCTGACATACGTTAACGGCTGGTCTGTGTGTTCCCCAGGCCCCCAACACACATGCACACCCTTCCTTCAAAAACCACCTCCAGACTCGACTCTCCCCACAGTCCTCCTGCCAGCACCCTGAGCTGGGGCGGGGGGTCACCACCCTTGACATCTTCAGCCTTTAGATACACAGACATATTGTGACCTGCGGTTCTATGTCCTCTTCCTAGAATAAAAGCCATATTTTCTCATTGAAGTCGCGACTACTTTGAGAGTAAGCAGGGATGGAGTCTTCTGTCATGCCCACGTCCCCTCCACGTCCCTTCTGGGTGCGGGGCTCACCTCCGGGCAGGCAGCCCCGCCTGGGTTGCTGACCGACCATTGGCAGTCTGCTGCTGGAGCAGCCCGACCCGTCTCCTAGGACGGAGTCATCCGGACGACTCTGTTGACGTTCGCCGTGTTGGGAAGTGTGTTTCCTCGGTTGCTCCCCTCTCCTCCCACACACGCAAAACGGAAGCCGCGGTAGACGTAGGTCACGGGCGGCGGAGCGCAGGGATCACGGCGACTCACTGAGCAGACGTGCCTGACGAGAGGAAAAGAAGGGCCGGGGACACCCCTCCCCCCAAAACACATAGCTTGCGATTCAAACTGCGGACTGTAATAAAACTGTAATCAAAATTTTAGTTTCTCCTCCTCAAACTGCCTTGCTTTATTTTTTCCATGTTTCCTAGGATGTATGTGAATATAAATCTAATGTATGAGACTTGAGAGCCATCACGGCAGACGCGCATTTGGCCGTCTCGGATGGCCCGGCCTCTGAGGAGGTCTGCAGCGCTGACTGCACCCCCGGGCGGGCACCGGCCTGCTCCTTTGTTCACTCACCCACGCAACAAACAAGCCTTGTCCAGGGCCAGGGAGCTGGGACACCTGGGCCCCGCCCGCAGGAGCCTGCGGGTGGGGGCAGACAAGTAACAATCACAGGCTGCAGTGCCGGGGCCACGGTGGTGAGCCCGCTGCGGGCCGGAGGGGCTCAGCTGGACAGGGACCCCGGGCCCACCTGACCGCCTCTCCTTCCCTTGTCTTCCCGCCAGGTACTGGAAAATAACAGAACAGCCATGGAGGATGATCCGTACGCTCAGCCAACGGCAAAAGTAGGACGTAAGAGAGAAGGGCTAAGCTATCGGGAGATCGCAGCAGGATTTGAAGGTAGCTGATCGCCAAGGGCAAGCCCTGCCGGGGGCCGCCTCCCGCCGTGGCACCTCGAGTTTTTCTGAGCACTGCCACCGGGCCGCCAGGGTGTAAGCTGAGATGTTGACACAGCGTTTGTTCTCAGACTGGAACAGATTTCATCTGACTGCATCTTGGTCTTTTCTTTTCATTAATTTAAGCCAAACTGTAAGTGCAGAATTTTGCCCGACGGGGCCTTCTATGACCTGAGAGCCGAGGTGGTTTGTAAAATTTACTCCGAAGCCCGTGCACCTTTCAGTCACGCCTCACGTCCTTTACGATTCCCTCCTAAAAATGGGTGCTGGTTAAATATAATCAGTGACACCCATGCACTGGCAAGACCAGTGTCCTTCAATGGGTGCTGGGTATCTATAATCAGTGACACCCATGCACTGGCAAGGCCAGTGTCCTTCAATGGGTGCTGGTTATCTATAATCAGTGACACCCATGCACTGGCAAGACCAGTGTCCTTCCTCCCTTTCAGCAGACGAGGTCACAGGGGTTCCAAAGGATTCAGTGACTTGCCCAGCCACTGTCCCTCCCCTCTCCCTGCCCCAGATGGTTAGCAGGAAATTCATCCTGTGCAGTGTGGTCAGGGCCGGAAGCCAGGTCCTCCTCTTTGCTCCCTGCTCCTTACTCTGTTCTCGTGGCTGCACGCCTGGCAGACAGAGGCAGCCTCCTGCCTCTCCGCCGTGTCCTCCCTCCCTGCATCCTGTCCCCTCTCACGTGCGAGGGAAGTTTAGACGGACAGATAAGCCCTCTAGAGAAGCTGCAGAAATCGTGCGAACGTACCAGTGGAACACTCTTCCGTTTGGCCGCAAACGCACTGCAGGTGGTGGACAGGGCAGAACCCGGAAGCCCTGTCTGCATTTGGCTCTCGTCCCGAGTGTGGCTGGGGTGATGTCATGGAACCCGATGGGAGAGACTGGCAGCTGGGACTCGTCCCGGGGAAAACGCAGAGGTCCCATCGGGCCCCCCAGACCTCCATCTGCCAGCGCTGAAGGGAGAGTGGGCAAGGCGAGGAGCTGTAGGTGTTCGGAATTTTGACACTTTCCTTGGGTTTATGTTTTGACATTTTTGGAGGAAAAGGAATTCATGTTTATTTCAGTGAGTGCTTCCAGTGTGCCAGGTGCGTTCATTTTTCAGGTGAGGAAATTGGGGCTCAGGGCGAGTAGGTCACTTGCCTGAGGTCCCAGAGCGGAGAGTCCATCGCAGGGTGGGGGCCCAGTAGCTCCCGACTGCTCTGGCTTCCTCCCTCCCCAGCCTTTCTTTCCACCTCGCTCTCCCCCTTCTCCTCCTCCCCTCCATCACCGCCCCCCCCCACCCAGTGCCGCCTGTCTCCTGTCTCCCACGTGATCAGATGCTGCAGTGGGGACCAGGGCGGGCATGGCAGAGGGGAGTCAAGCGGCTGGGGAAGGAGTTACCTGCCAGGCATAAGGAGCCTGAGGAGGGGCACTGCAGGCCCAGGTGGAGCAGGGCAGAAGTCAGGTTTGGGACTGAACCCCTAGGATGCTCACGAGCTCCAGATGCTCCGCCCACTGTCCCCGTCCCGTCTGTCCTCCCCCCACCCACCACCCGCCTTACCACAGACTGCATCTGTGGGGAGGGGTGGTCTCAGCGCGTGCAGAGAACCACGTCTGAAACCAAGCCCCCGGTTTACAGCCTGGTTGTCGATAAAGCCACACTCAAATTATCCCAACCTGGTGGAAATAGGTTGGTTTTTAAATATAAGTGACACTTCCTTCCTCAGCTTTAGGGGACACAGAGAGCATAATGCAATAATTAGCCAGCTGGGCTCTGGAGTCTGCCTTCCCATTCCTCTGTGCTACCTGCGAGCTCTCACCCTTGGGGGAGCTGGGGGACCCCTGAGCCTCCAAATCCTTATGTGTGAAGCGGGCACAGTAGGTTCTCCTGTGCGTGAGCTGGCGGGAAAGCAGGCTGTACCCCTCAGGGCTGTTAAAAGAGCGGACCCAAGGCCTAGCAGGCGCAGTCAGGAAATGCCTGTGGAATGAACAACTGTCGGCTGAAGCACACTCCCCCGGGCTTAGGACAGGTTCCGGGGATTCTCCTTCTCTGCCGCTGGGAAAGGAGAGAGGGACGAGCCGGGGCCCGGTGGCCCAGAGAGCAAGTCCTCCTCGTAGGCACAGGAACATGGCTACGGGGCCAGAGGGCAGGAGGCCAGATGTTAGCGACGTTGACGCTGTGCTCAGCTCACAGAGTGGACTTGCTGTGTCGTGTCCTCACGGGGCTTGGGCCAGGCAAAACTCAGGCGTCAAAGCAGACTAAGGAGGCGCGCACGCCCCTAACAGAGGCCTCTGGTGTGTGGGGTCGTTGCAGGTACCAAGATGGATGGGCCAGAATTGACTCCGCCCCAGACTCCAGTTCTCTCGAAGAATAGCGCGGACGGCTATTTCATGACTGCCGAAGAATGCCTGAAACTCTTCCCCCAGAGACTGAGGGAATCCTTCCGGGTAAATGACCTGCCACTGCCTGCCTTATCCGCCCCCTCCTCCTCAGGCCAGTCGGCCACCCTGGGTGTGACTCCCGGAGCCCCGTTTCGTCCTGCCCATCACTGGACACACAGCACTTGGCCTCCACAGGCTCGGGCTGACCTCTCCCTCCTCCCCTCCTGGGACGGGGACCTAACTCTGTGATGCCCTCCCCTCCTCGAGGTCCTTCCTTGCTGGCACTGTGCCAGCTCTGCCTGCGGCCTCTCAAAGGCCTGGGGAAAGTAAGGAGACCCTCTTCACAGGAGGGAGTTGCAGTGAGGCTGGGACCCGTCCGTCCACTCCCTCTGCTCCACTCATGCACTCACAGGCATGGCGCGCGTACCGTGTGCAAGAGCCTGCCAGACGCTGGTGGCGAAGGGTCTGGGTGCTGCTCAGAGCTAAGTCATCCAGGACACGGGTGGTCCAGGGCACGGTGCAGGCGCGTCGCAACGGGCAGCTGTACTGGGAACTGTAGCGTGCTGTGGGGGCACAGGGGAAGACCCCGCTAAAGAGGGCCTTCTGGAGGAGGTGACCACTGAACCAAGTCTTAAAGCCTCAGCAAGTTCTGAACAGGAAAAGGGGAACAAACAGCAGAAAGGGGAGCTGGTACCAGGCAGGTGGCTGACAAGTCACGGGCCTTAGGGAAAAGCCCGCGCGGTTCCGTCTGACCCAGGCACGGGCGACATGTGGACGTTTATAGCCGATAAGACGGGAGAAACAGCAGCCGCTCAGACAGAGGCAGGTGCAAAACGACCTCAGCTGGCTTTGTGTTGAGACGTGAAGGGGGGTGATGACAGTGAGGAGGACCAACGTAGTAAGCCGGGGGCCCCGGGGATAGAGTGCGTCCTCGCGCAGGTGAGCAGGAGCAGACGCGTCAGCGGCGAGGCAGGGCGGGACGTCTTCTCCACACTGATTGCCTCCTGGAGCTTCGTCCGGTTACCAAGCTCTCATTTTAAAACGAATATATTTATGATGACTGTCTAGCTTGGGCTTGCAGGATGCTTCTGACTTTGGCCATTTGTCCAGCTGTCAGACCGTGCATCCTGATGGAAAAATACGGTCACCATAAGCATAGATGGAGACGTTTGTCCAGCTGTCAGACCGTGCATCCTGATGCTTCGTTTGGAAAAATACGGTCACCATAAGCATAGATGGAGAAGGGTTCGTCCTTGTTGCTTAGTTTGATGCAGTGCCCGGCCGAGAAGAGCATGGAGCAGGCAGGGTCGTTTGGGGGCGAGAGCCTGGTTCTCTGAAGAAGGAAAGCTGGGCTGGAGGGAGAGAGGGCAGAGCAGATGTTCCTCTGTGCTGGTTAGCGGGGCCAGGGTGGCCCCAAGGGGCCCCAGGCAATTTCCCCCACTGCCCTGTCCATGGCAACCCGGACTCCTCTCCCTGGCTCTCCCACCTGTCCCCTTTCCCAGCGGGAGACATGGGGGAAGTCGAGCTTCATGCTGGCACCATTGTTTTCCTGCCTTTATTGTCACCGTAGCTTGGTTACAGCACACATGTCTCGAATTTCCTAAGATGATCTTTATTTTAAATAGTCAAATAATGAGTTGATTCAACAAACATTCCTGCAGAGAACTTATGATCTAGTGGGTGAGACAAAGCCAGCTCCTCGCTGCAGGGTCTGTGTGTTCCATCCAAGGACACAGGCCTCCCCAGTTCCACTGGGGGTTTTCTCATTGTCCTCACAGGTCGTGTAAACGGGACAAAGCACGTGTCTCGATTTCTGAGTGGGAAGGTACTGTCACCTTACTTGATTGAGCTCCTATTCATGAGAAATACTTAAGTGTCTCTTCTCATCGGTAGTGAGAAAAAGAAAGGCTTGACTTAGTTTGAAACACTGTCGCTGCTGGCGCTGTCATCGCCAGTGATTTTCGTAAGCAGACGAGTCCCCCTCAGCACTGACTTAGGTGGACAGATGCCAGCAAAGCCCAGCGAGTAAGTCACAGCCTCACAGCCCAGGCCAAAGGCCATGAGCGGCTGAAGGAAATAAGTCATTGTGACCAAATAGGGCTGTCTTCCCTCCCGGACTGTGGGGAGGGAAGCAGGCACCGCGACCCCCTCGGTGACCCGGAGACATGACCTGGGGATGGGTTCTCTGTGGCCCCGTGTTGTTACCTTCACCCCAGGCCTCACCCTCTGGACACTGTCTCTGAGAGTCACGCATGTGTCCGTGGATTCACGCATATTTTGAAAAACCAACAAATCAAGAAACCTCCGTTCAAATAGCATTGTTCTGTCCGCATTTCTGCGGCTATGTTTCTCCCAGACGCCCGACCCGGCAAGGCGGTCAGAGTGACCCCTTGGCCCTTGGGCCCTGATCCTGCCTGATTGCCTGCCGGCCCCGTGCCGCCCTGGCCTTGGCCTTTCTCTCCTTGACCCCTCTCCTCCCCACCTCCCTCTCCATGCCGTCTTTGCACATTCTGTTCCTCTGCCTGGATGGCCACCCCTCCCCCTGTGACCAGCTCCTCCCTAAGCCCTGGTCCTCCCTGTGGAGGTCTGCTGCCTGCACCGCGCTCCTGGCACCCAGCGTGCCATAGCATGATTCAGCGAGACCTCGAGGCCCACCACGACAGCCGACACAGTCACCACGGGGCCTGCTGGGAACTAGGTGATCGGTACCCACCGCCGAATGGATGAAAGGCTTTGCATGACGTGCTGGGCAGTGAACTGAGGGAAGGCTCACGTCCGTGGCCTCGTCTGTTGTAATCCCCACCCCTGCCCATCAGGAGGCGTGAGCGTTCCCGTTTTATAGACGGAGCAACAGGGTCAGAGCCGGGAGAGACTCGCCCAGAGCCGCCTCTCACATGGCGTGGCCTAGAATTGAAATAGCGTCTGTTCGATTCC